CACTAGCCCAGGTTGCTCCAAGCCCCGTCCAACCTGGCCTTGGACACTTCCAGGGATGGGGCAGCCTCTGGGAAATCCATTCCAGCGCTTCAGCACCCGAACAGGGAGGAATTTCTTCCCGGTATCCCACCTACCCCTGCCCTCTGGCAGTCTGAAGCCGTTCCCCCTTGTCCTGCCGCTGGAGGTGTGGGAACGGCAGCTCCGGGGGCAGCACAGCCCTTCCCTTCCACGGCCACATTTCCTTCTTAAAAGTCGTCCCGCACATGAAAAACTCCATCTCGTCTTCCCCGCGCGTTCTGAGGGAACACTCACACCGAGCCAGAGCTCTGCCACGAGCAGCTCACGCCGCTTTTGGGTCGCTGAAGCGGCCCCAGGAGGGCCCCGAGGAAGGCAGTTAATTAGGGCTCCCCGGGAGCGCGGGATCCCGCCCGGGATGCACGTGGAGAGGATCCAGCGCCTCACCCGCGCCGGGCACGGGCAGCACCGGGGGGGTTCCGTGCCGGGTTCCTGCACTTCCACCCGCTCCTGAGGGGCTTTCTCACTATTCCTCGGTCTTTCACGGAATCGTGGAACGGTCTGGGTTGGAAGGGACCTTAAAACTCCTCCCGTCGCACCCCTGCCATGGGCAGGGACACCTTCCAGCAGCCCGGGCTGCTCCGAGCGCCGTCCGGCCCGGCCTTGGACATTCCAGGGACGGGGCAAAACCCAGCGATGGGTTTTAAGTGGAAAAGTGGAAGTTTGTAAACAAGATTCGCCCGTCTGCGCGCTCCGGGCGGCTCCACGCGCTACTTACCGGGAGTTTTCCGCCGTTTCGGCCGCTACCGGCCGGCGGGTGCCCGGTGACCACCGAACCCACCGGGCAACGCGCAGCGACCCCCGACACCCCCCGCCGCCCCATTCATTCCGCGCAGCCCCGAGCGGGGGCGGGACATCCTGCCCGCACCGCGGTACTCCGGGGCCGCGCCGGTAAACCCACCGCGGGCGCTCCGCCCTCGCCCGGTAACCGGGGCCGGACCCACCGCGGTTAAACCGGGGGCAAAACCAACCGGGGGCAAAACCAACCGGGACGGAACCCGCCGGGGCCGCCCCAAGGTCAGCGCGCGGCGCGGAGCCCCGCGCTCGGCGGCGGCTCCCATCGCCGCGCCCGCGGCCCGGCGGGGCCTTGCCCGCGCCGCTCCCACTCCCCCCGGGCCTCACATGGCGGCTGGCGGCGGCTGCGGCGGGCGCTCCTGCGGGCGGTGCTGCGGGCGGCGCTGCGGGCGCGCGGGCGGTGCCGGGGGTCGCTCCGGGGCGGGGGTCGTTCCGGGGTCGCTCCGGGGGGGCTCCGGCGGCGGCTCCGGGGGCTCCGGGCGGGCTCGGGGCTCGGCGCGGCCTCGCTCCCACAATGCCCCGCGCGCGCTCGGCCCGTGGTGACGCAGCAAAATCCCCGCGCGCGCCGCCGCCGCCTCCTCGCGCCGCCGCGCCCGCGCCGCGCATGCGCCGGCCCCCCCTCCCCCGCCCTTCCGCGCCTTCCAGCAGCTTCTGGCCGCGCGTGCGCAGTGCGGCCGGAGGGAGCCGGGGGGGGGGCCGGGACCCCCCAATGGACGCGGCCTGTGCCTCGTTCAGAGCCCGGACCCTCCCCGCTCCAGCCGCCTCTCGGGGGGCCGTGAGAGCGAGAGTGAGAGCCCCCTGAGCCTCCTCCTCTCCAGGCTGAGCCCCCCCAGCTCCCTCAGTTCTCCAGCCCCTTCCCCAGCTCCGTTCCCAGCTCTGGACACACTCCAGCCCCTCAATGTCTCTCTTGCCGTGAGGGCCCAGAACTGGGCACAGCCCTGGAGGGGCCTCAGCAGTGCCAGCACAGGGGGACAGTCCCTGCCCTGGGCCTGTGCCCACACCGTGGCTGGCACAGCCCAGGGGCCGATGGCCTCCTTGACCACCTGGGCACACCTGGGCACACCTGGGCTCATGTCCAGCCACTGTCACCAGCACGCCCAGGGCCTTTCCCAGCTTTCCAGCTGCTTCCCCCAGGCTGAAGCGCTCCATGGGGATGGTGTGACCCGAGGGCAGCACTTGGCACTTGGCCTTGTTAACCCTCCCACCGTTGGCCTCGGCCCTTGGATCCAGCCTGTCCCGATCCCTCTGCAGAGCCTTCCTGCCCTCCAGCACACCCACATCCCACCCAACTCGGTGTCGTCTGTGAACTGAGGTGCCACTGATCCCCTTGTTGAGATCATGGGTGAAGGTGACCCTGACATGGCCCCATGGAATGTGTCCCCACCCCTCTCCGGGTGGGTTTTAACCCCAAGGAGTGTCCCAGTCCTGGGCTGCAGCTTTTCCAGGAAGATGCTCTGGCAGACAGTATCAAAGGCTTTACTGGCATCCAGGCAGACACATCCACAGCCTTTCCCTCTTCCACGACACCCCCATCCATCCATCCCACGCTGCAGGGGAATGAGGAGAAGCCCCCCTTGAAGGGGACCCCGGGAGGATGAAGGAGGTGAGACCCTGCAGTGACTGAGCCCGGCACGCCACTGCCCCGGGCTCGTGTCCAGCCGTCCTTTGGGGCAGGAAGGAAATGAGGGAACAGGCAGGTGGTGTCAGGACGGGGTATCAGGGCCGGGATCTTCCCGGGAGGAAGCCTCCACCCTGGGGCCAGGGCTCCCAGGAAAGGGAGGGCAGCAACCCACCACCACGGAGCAGCGAGTGTTTCACCAACAATAAGCCACAACTTTTATTAACCGATAGAAATAGTACAAATTTTAAATTTAGCTGTATTTTAGTCTTCTCTGAAACACCAAAAAAGGCTCCTCCCTCCGGCGGCTACATCGTCAGCTCCTGCGGGGAGAAGGGGGGTCAGGAGCCAGCAGGAGCCCCCCCAGAGCCCCCCAGGACACCCCAAAACACTCACCATTATCGCGTTTACGATGTCGTTGCTGTTGTTCTTGAGGGCTCGCACGGCCTTCGCCCGCGACACGTTCGCCTGCGACATCACCAGCTCGATGTCTTTCACCTCCACACCCGTCTCGTCAACCTGCAGGACAGACAGAGCCCGGGATCGGCGCCAGCTCCGGGCCTGGCACAGCCTGAGACCGCCTGGATTGGGGAGGCTCCTGCTCCACCCACAGGGATGGGAGCTGGGAGGCCGGACCTGCACTGCACAGACCCCCGGGGGAGGACTCCACACTCTCCCTTTGCCACCACGGCAAAGATATGGGTGAAGGAAAGGAATCCCCAGATTATCCCAAAGCAGACCCGCCCAGACAGGCTGGGGAAGGTGTTACCTCCTCTTCCTCGCTCTCCTCCTGCACGGTGGGGGTCTGTGTGTTTTCCTGGATGTTTGAAACAGGTTCTCCTTGCACTTTGAACTTTTCGGCAGCTGCCAGCTGGGCCTGCTGGGACAGGTCTTCGATCTGCAGGAGGGAAGGAGCGGAGCTGAGGCCAGTCCTGGGTGGTGCCAGCACATCCCACGGCTCTGCCACACGGCCCAGCCGGGAAACCAGCCCTTGGCACGGTCCCCAGGGACTCACGGTGGGAGCCACACAGTGCACACGTGACAACATGGAACCTGCTGGCCCCCAGGTGCTACCAGGGTGGGCTCACCTTGGCCTCGCCAAAGACAATGTAGGTGTCTGACGCCGGGCTCTTGTACACGTCTGGCTTTGTGATGACAAACAGGATGTTCTTGGATTTCCGGATGGTGACCCTGGTGACTCCTGTCACCTGGCGAAGGCCCAGTTTGGACATTGCCTGAAAAACACCAGGGGAAGGTCAGCGAGGGAAGGAAGAGCTCCAGATGCCCGGATGTGCCCACTTCTCTCTCCAGAGCCCGGGTCCAACGCTCGCTGTGTGGATACACACGGAAACGTGCCCTCAGTGAGCAGCATTCCCGGGTGTCAGCCAGAGTGAACACTGCAATCCCAGGACCGGTGAGGTGCCCAGCACAGCCTCCAGCCCTGGGGCTGCCCAGCAGGGACAGGTCAGGCCCACCCCCACCTCACCTTCCGAGCTTTCTTCTCGCTCCGGCTCTGTTTTGCTTTGCTGACGGGTTCTTCATCTATTTCGGCCGCTGCCGCGAGCTGCAGGGGGGGACAACAACAGGGAGCCGTGACGACCCCGAGGTGACACAGGAAGGCACCCACAGGGATCCTGATCCACCACGGAGGGCACGTGCCACCCGCCCTACCTGCGCCTGCTGTGTCGTGGCCTGTGTGGAGTCTTGCTCTTCGAGCTCTGGTACAGATTCATCGCTGTCGGACTCTGTTCCAGACCCTGCAGGAACACACACACACCTCACTCTTCCCACCTCAGGCAGGTCCAGGGGATGCAGCTGCTTTGGTGCAGCCTTTGCTGCTGGTTCCCAGTGCAGTCACCAGTCAGCCCAGTTAAGTGGTGCGCCCCAAATGCCATCAGGAGCCGTCTTGGCACCCCAAACACCATCAGCAGGGTGGCACAAGAGCCTGCCCCCAGGCTCTCACCATGGTGGGAGCCCCATGGATGCCTGGGGGGTCTGGAATGCTGAGCCCCTGAGGAAGTTCCAGCCTGAGGCACCAGGAGGAGTGTGGGTGGCACTCCTGGGGTGGCAGCAGCCCAGTGTGACAGGCACCCTTGACACACAGCACTGAGGCCCCACTCACCGAGCCCTCGGGGCTGCTGCACATCCATGGCTTCACTACAGGGATCATTTGGGATTACCCTGATGCCCCCCTCTGGGTGCCCAGAGGGCCACCATCTGCAGTGCCACCACCATCACTTGTGACCCCTGGCACAGCCGTGTCCAACCACGCGAGTGACCGAAGCAGAGCCGGGTGTCCCCGGCCTCGGAGGTGGCCGGGATGCTCCCATGCAGCCATTACCTGGATCCAGTCCTGTTTCCCGCTCTGGAAAGGGCCTCTGTGCCCACGGCACACAGAAGCCCTGGCAAAGCCCTCTGCAGGTGCCGGGGTGTGCCCGGGGTTCCCAACACTTCAGGCAGAGCGCAGGGACAGCACCGGCGCTGCCGGACGGACACGGGGACACCACGGGGACACCACGGGGACACCACACGCAGCGAGGACAGGCCCGTGGCGGCTCTGCCCGAGCCTCCGTGTGCAGCAGCCCCGCTCGCAGTGCCCGTGCCACAAGTGCCACAAGCCACACCGTGCTCCGTGCCCGAGGACACGCGTTAGTGACCCCGGGGCCGTGCCGAGCCCTGCCCCTCCCCGTGGCTCGCTCTGTGCCCGGGGCCCTGCTCGGGGTTAGTATCCCGTGGGCAGCCAGTGACCCTCCATGCACACGGCAAACCGCAAATACCCTTGTCATTCTTGAGC